CTTGCCGCTTCAAATGTTCTTTAGATATATATCCAGAGGATATTATTTCAGACAGTCTCTATACTTGAAATCAGTCAGTCAATAAACTTAGTTATCTACTGGGTACACTACAGTGTATATAAGCACTAACTACTATCTCTAGGATCATTTAAAACCAGAATTGTGATTAAAAAACTATTTCAGAATAAAATACCTAGGAATACAGCTAACCAGGTAGGTGAATTATATCTATAAAGGAGAACTACAAAACACTGCTCAAAGAAATCAGAGATGACACAAACAAATAAAAAAAAAATTTCATGTTTGTGAACAGGAAGAATCAATATTGTTAAAATGGCCATACTGCTAAAAGTAATTGGTAAGATTCAATGCTATTCTTATCAAACTACTAACGACACTTCACAAAACCAGAAAAAAACTATTTTAAAATTCATATGGAACCCATATGAAAGAGAGCCCAAATAGCCAAGGCAATCCTAAGCAAAAAGAACAATGCTGGAAGCACCACACTACCTGATTTCAAACTATACTACAGGACTACAATAACCAAAACAGAATGGTACTGGTACAAACAGACACATAGACCAAGAGAACATAATAGAGAACCAGAAAATAAGACTGCACACCTACAACTACCTGGTCTTCAACAAAACTGACAAAAAAAAGCAACAGGGAAAGGACTCCCTATTTAATAAATGGTGCCGGGATAACTGGCTAGCCATACGCAAAGATTGAAACTGGATCCCTTCCTTACACCACATTTAAAAATTAACTCAAGATGAATTAAAGGCTTAAATGTAAAACCCCAAACTATAAAAACCCTGGAAGACAACCTAGGAAATACCATTCTGGACATAGAAATGGGCAAAGATTTCATGATGAAGCCACCAAAAGCGATTCCAATAAAAGCAAAAATTGACACAGGATCCAATTAAACTAAAGAGCTTCTGCACAGCAAAAGATACTATCAACAGAGTCAACGGACAACCTACAGAATGGGAAATTTTGCAAACTATGTCTCTGACAAAAGTCTAATACCCAGCATCTACAAGGAACTTTAAATTTGTTTAAGTTAAGAAATTTAATTACTTAAATTTAAATTAATTTGTTAAGAAAAAAAGAGACAACCCCATTTAAAAAAATGGACAAAAGACATGAGCAGTCACTTTTCAAAAGAAAACATACATGAAGCCAACCAGCTTATGATGAAAAGCTCAATGGCAGAACACACAGATATAGGGAGGGGAACATCACATACTGGGGCCTGTTGGGGGATTGGGGAGCAAGGGGAGGAACAGCATTAGGACAAATACCTAATGCATGCGGGGCTTAAAACCTAGATGATGTGTAGATAGGTGCAGCAAATCACCATGGCACATGTATACCTATGTAACAAACCTGCATGTTCTGCACATGTATCCCAGAACTTAAAGTCAAATTATTAAAAAAAAAAAAGGAAAAGAGCTCAATGTCACTGATCATTAGAGACATGCAAATCAAAAGCACAGTGAGACACCGTGTCATAACAGTCTGAAAGGCTATTAATAAAAAGCCAAAATATAACAGATGCTGGCAAAGCTGTGGAGAAAAAGGAAGACTTATACACAGTTGGTGGGAGTGTTTTCCACACTCAGTTCAAACATTGTGGAAAACTGTGTGGCAATTCCTCAAAGACCTAAAAACAGAACTGCCATTCAATCCAGTAATCCCATCACTGGGTATATACCCAAAGGAATATAAATTGTTGTCGCAAAGACACATGCACACATATGTTCACTGCAGCACTGTTCACAATAGCAAAGACACGGAATCAATTTCAATGTCCATCGATGGTGAACTGGATAAACAAAATGTGGTACATATACACCATGGAATACTATGAAGCCACAAAAAAGAACGAGATTATGTCCTTTGCAGGAACATGGATAAGGCTGGAGGCTGTCATTCTTGGCAAACTAACGCAGGAACATAAAACCAAATGCCGCATGTTCTCACTTATAAGGGGGAACTAAATGGTGAGAACACATGGACACATAAAAGGGAACAACAAACACTGGGGCCTACTGGTGGGAGGAGGCAAGAGGAGGGAGAGGATTAGGAAAGATAATGAATAGATACTAGGCTTAATACTTGGGTGATGAAATAATCTGTACAAGAAACCCCCATGACTCATACCTATGTAACAAACCTGCACATGTACCCCTAAACTTAAAATAAAAGTTAAAAAAAACCCTGTTTCATAGAACTTGTTGGAGTACTCCCTTAAAATGTGGAAAGATACACCTCTATTCTAAAGTGGAAAGACAAACCTTAATGCAGACTAAAAAAGATTTTCATTTTATTACTTTTTTTGGGGTAGTTTCATTTTAATCAAAATCAGAAGGAAAATATGTCAAACTGAAATATGACTGCAATTTGTACATTCCTTTAAATAAAATTGGAAAGCATGATGTGACATGTTTTTAACAATTATTCCAGGAAAACAAATCTGATTCTTTTTCTGAAATAAAGTACAACATTGTGGATATAATAATCACAAATTATAAAGGCTTGCCAAGCAGGTCTGCAGAAACATAAGGAAAGTTTATCTGCCCAAGTTAGCTTTCCTTTCTTGATAATGTGTTTTAAGTTGTATCCTAAGCCATACAATTCATTTGTAAACAATAATCAAGACAACATGTTACTTTTTGAGAGAAGATTATTGTTTAGGGACTCTAAATTCTGAAAATTCTGAATTAAAGTTATTACTAGTTTTAGCACACTTTACACTGGTAAGTAAACACCTTGCTTCTTATGGCTCAATGTACCCAGCTGGATGGCATATTCTAACCATTTAGACTGCTAAAAGGAAAGGTCTTGAAAAATAAAGATGACTTCAAGGAACTGAAATACTAACATCATAGCATCTTCATCAATGGACAAACTCCAGTTTAAATATTAATGTAAACAGTAAGTTAAGACATTATTTGCAAGGAATATGAAATTAGTATTTTTAGAAATTCATTATTCAGGTAGATCTCTTCCTAAAGATTTAGGTAAGCTTTGGGAAAATCTCTGAATGTGCTTTTGTTGTTTCACTGAATGTTTCAGCTGAAGATCAATGCAATGGAAAATATCTTTGTTGCATTCCAGGTAAAACTGGTATTTGTAAACATCAAGCTCACCAGAATGTATCTGTTAAACACCTTATTTAATCTTCAGATACTAGAAGCAGACAGGTGCTATCACATATCAACAGAACTCAACATAAAGGTTTCCCAAAAATTTCACTGCTGAAATCTGTCAAATAATTTTGTTTTCTATATAGTATAACATCTATTATTCAAAGGTTAGTAAAGCAGAAAATAAAGTCAGCAATGTCAGTATGTTTTTTAGTAATGAGATGCAAGATGATGCCAATGTGGCAGATTTTCAATCAAATCCGAAGGTCCCTATAGATCAGTAGTTCTGTCCAATCTTCTTTATTATGGCTGTGCATTCCGGTCGGGGGGCAAATCAATTATCTGGTCTCTTGATCAAATTTATTCAGGCTTTAGATGTAATCAGTCTAAAATAGTGCTTGATATATTTCCATTTTCTGGACTGTAAATACACAGTTGCATATGCCATGCAACTGGTATATGGCAAACTGAAGAACTGGCAAGCATGATGGACAAAAGGACTGGGAACTAAAAGTATGATTGAGGTTATCAACTAATTGCTGTTGATGGGAGGTATGGTAATTGTTGCAATAAAATCAATTATTTTATGCTCCTATTTGCTGAGCCATCACTGAAAAACCGTTAGCACAATGATGTCTAGAGTGGACAGTGGACACGTACAAATTCCTTCCTGTGGGAATTATGCATGTGGCACTATACTGCTTACAGTAGGGAACAGGACAACCGGTGAGGAAAAGAGCTAAAGAAAGTTGAAAATAATCTGTAAGATAAAATAAAAAACACACTTTTGGTAGAGACAGAGATTGCTAACATACCAGAGAAAGGAGACTATCTGTTAAAAGCTATCAGAGACAGTTTGGTTCATTTTGAGCACACGAGAGAGACAGAAATACCAATAAGAGGCTCCTCAACTAGACCATCATTATAACAAAATGAAAATCTTTAAAAAGATCCAGTGCCAGCTTGGAGAAGCATGTAGCATGCCACAAAGCAGGTAAGGCAACAGGTGCCTGAGTGAGAAAAGGATAGGTTATGTAGAACTTGTTAGGCCAGGATCATAGGCACTTTCTAAAAGACCAAGATAATAAAAGTATTGCATGTTACTAGAAATGGCCACTAAAACAAAAATGAAAAAAAAATCCCTAGCAAAATACAGCTTGAGTATCCCTTATCTAAAATGCTTGGGATCAGAAGTGTTTTGAATTTCAGATTTTTTTGGACTTTGGAATATTTGCATATATATAATGAAAGATCTTGGAGATAGGACTTGGGTCTAAAGAAGAAATTCATATGTTTCATACACACCTTATACACATACCCTGAAGGTAATTTTACTCCACATTTTGTGAAACAAAGTTTTCACTGTAACCCATCACATGAAGCTAGGTGTGTAATTTTCCACTGTGGTATCATGTTGGCACTCGGAGTTTTGGATTTCAAAGCATTTTGGACTCTGGATTTTCAGATTAGGAATGCTCAACCTGTACATGATGATCAGCACAGCTCACCTGCAATACTCACTTCTGAAATCCAAGATCTTAAAAAGGTCATTTCCCCCATTACCACAGCCCCTTTACATTTGTCTTCTTTCAGAATTTCGAGGAACTAATGCTTCCAAATGTTGATAATTACACAATGCCTGTCTATGAGGAGTACAATGTATTTGTGTTTATCTTTCTCTAGACTCAGCAGAAATGAACTGGTCACATGCTAAAATGATCATTTCACTTTTTAAGGGAGGTTTAAGTAAGTATGGGAATAGGAAACGAAGGAACTTTTTGGCTTTGTCCCATTTCCATCTGTTTCCGCGCATCCTTAAAGCCCTTCTGTGGTTCTAACCTCTTAAATCCTGCTGTGTGCGAGCACCACCCATACTCTGTCTTGGCATTCGTAGAGAGGTTCTCAAAGGTGTATGTCTCTGCTCATCCAGGTAAGCAAGGTCTTCCAAGTGGGCAGAGCTGGTGGCTGACAAGAAAGAAAAGTTTAGTTAGAATGTTCAAGTTCAGAAAATGTCTTTCAGCTAGTCTGTATCTCCAGAACTTTGGAATCAGGGATTACTCCAGCCAAAAAATATATATGCAAAATATGTAATACATATAAAACACATGTATTTTATACTTTTAAAAATACAAGTAAGTGGTTTGTAAAAAATATTAACCCTTCGTTTCACTTGCTACTTTAAGACAGTACATAATAAACCTGTGCTTGCTAAGAGGTTCTATAACCTTAAACAGAGGGATTAAATATTTCCTATTCAAAAAGCAAAACAAGCTAAGCAAATAAACATAAACCCTTACTTCATATAAGAAACAGATAATGGTAGATGTGGGATTTAAAATGAAAAACAAAATGCTAGTCCAAAAGCTTAAAACGCCATCTTGCCTCTGAATGTCTGGATCATGAAAACTGCAGAGACAGTAAGAAAAAGGAAGTTTCTTTGTTATCAAAAGAAATAGTAAATGGGTTTTTACTAAAAACTGAGTGAAAGAAAAAATTAATTTTACAAAAAATGTTTCAAATTATAAGAAATACCAGAGTATCCATTTTATTGTTTGAAAATATTAGCTACCAGTAGCTCGTGCTAGTAATTCCAGGACTTTGGGAGGCTGAGGAGGGTGGATCGTTTGAGCCCAGGAGTTCAAGACCAGCCTGGGCAACATGGCGAAACTCCGTCTCCACAAAAACGCACAAAAAAAATTAGCCGAGCGTGGTGGTGTGTGCCTGTAGTCCCAGCTACTCAGGAGGCTGAGATGGGAGGATTGATTGAGCCTGGGAGGTCAAGGCTGCAGCGAGCCATGATCATGCCATTGCACTACAGCCTAGGAAACAGAGAGAGAGACCCTGTTTCAAACACAACAGCAACAACAAAAACACAAAAAAAGGAAGAAAATATTAGCTACCAACTTATTACTAACAACTGGTTTGAGTTGGTGAGAGTGAAAAAAAAACCCTAAGATTATCTTTTCATGGCTGCTGGGCCTCAAATGTTTTGCCACCAAATACCTGGGGAGTATATTTCTGTATATGAGAAATTGTAAGATGTGTTGAGATTACATGGTCATTTGCCTCAAAGACTTTATCCAAAATTTTAATCAATTCCAATTTTGCCACTAATGACATATACTACCTTACCTAATAGCTGATTATAAATAAGCTATTCAATATAAACTAAGAAGGAAAAGAGGAAGAGGAGACAGCTCAGAATTCCCTCAGCATAAGGAAACAAGAATTACGACAGTAAGTAAACTTACATCTCCAACCTCATATATAAGTTGTTCATGATGATTGACATTGGGTACTGATATTCATTTGTTAACCTGTTCATTCACTTAACAAATATAACAAAATTGTTAATAAAAAAATGTCAGCACTGTGCCATAACAATACTTTTACCATAGTTTCTAATCAGTGTATAGGAAAGAAAAAAGATGAGCAAGGAAACATTTTACTAAAGAATGTAGCAGACAGCAGTCAAAAGAATATTTTATTAAAATTACTGGAATGGAATGGACCTTGAGGGCTGTCCCATCCAACACCTGTGTAATGCTCAACTCTGTTATCTCTTTCAATGTAGTTGTATAGCTTATGCCTGAACATTTCCAATGGTGGGAGCACACTATCTCTTGATACACCATATTTAAACTTTGCATAACCTCTTGTTATTAGCAATATGGTTCTGTTTCTCTACCTCTTACCCTCTCTTTCTCTTGATGGTATAGATGATTCTTCTGCTTATATAAAAAAGAAGAAGGAATAATCTTTTTAAAAGTTCTTTGCACAAGAACTAAAAGGAATGAACATGTATTTGTTAAACACCTGTAATGTGCTGGGTAGTGTGTAACATGCTTTTCTTGAATTATGGCTTTTATTTTAAAGGGAAATAAAACAATCAGAAAGTGTAACAATGAAGACATTCTGTCCAATCTCTTAAGAGAAATGCATGGGCTACTTGCCTGGAGAGATGCTTGGAAAATTCTTATGTCTTTGCTAAGAATCCCTATGGGTAATTTTTGGCCTCTCCCATATTAGGACAATAATATTAGGATAGTCTGAGCACAACTATTCCCCTACTTTTACTAAAACTACTACCACAAATATCATCTCCCTTCCCTTCATAGATATTCTGAACATAAATATTACCTAAAACTTACTAAGTAGTTACAAAACATTAGTCATTATATGAATCCTTTGTATTAGGATATCCTACTTTTCACAGATACAGATTCCAATTCATATGTATTCCACAGCAGCTCTGAAAATGGGTCATTAATCCCAAACAGAGGCCACACCATTGGCCCAGGGAGATAAATCAGTTGATTAAGAAGACTGATATAGATTGAGTATCCCTTCCCTGAAATACCTGGGACTAGAAGTGTTTTAAAATTTTGAATTTTGGGGGAGATTATGAAATATTTACATTATACTTACTGGTTCAGCATTCATAATCCAAAAATCTGAACTATGAAATGCTCCAATGAGTATTTCCTTTGAGCATCATGTCAGCACTCAAAAAGTTATGAATTTGGAGCATTTCAGATTAGGGATACTCAACCTATAACTGATTCTAAGCAGAAGCTTTCACCAAAAATCTTCCTCTGCACAAGGACTACATAGAGCTCAGAAACTGTTGCAACTATTGTAACAGAGTAAACTCTTGATATCATGACATTTAGGGTATGGTAAATATATTTGGGAGTGATGTTGGCAACAGGAGAAGGAAATGAATTCCTTTTTTTTTGAGACAGTCTCATTCTGTTGCCCAGAATAGAGGGCAGTGGTGTGGTCATGGCTCACCGCAGCCTTGATCTCCCAGGCTCAGGGTCTCCTCCCACTTCAGCCTCCCAAGTAGCTGGAACTACAGGCATACACCACCAAGCTCAGCTAATTTTTTAAAATTACTATTTGTAGAGACAAGGTCTCTCTTTGTTGCCCGGGCTGGTAATGACTAATGTGCTCTTCTCCTGTGCCTCTCCAATGCCAGCAAGCCACACACACTATTAGCAGCTTACTTTCCATATAATACTATAAAAATAGGTACTTTCTCAACACAAAAAGTTGAGAAATCTTTTAACTTTATACCATCTCCCCAAATTCCTCAATTACATAACTTTAATATTACAATGAAGCTTTCAATCCATGTTCTCAACATTCAAGACACAATGATAACCCAGTTTCTCCTTGCAAAGGCAAGGTGAAACATTTTGGTGGCATTTTGCTTGGTCATAATAGTCCAACAAAGGCAGTGGAAGGGAGCTACTGATTATCTCTGTATTTGCTGCTCCCCAAAACATGCCCGTAGCAAACTGAAATACTGACCCCAGTTCTTCAGCCTCTCCTATATACACACTCTTTCTCATCTGTCTTTGCAGTTGCCCCCACCAGACCTTGAATCCCATTTTGCAGTAATTCCCACTAGAGGTTGAGCACACTTCCCTGCCCTTGACTTTGGATTTGATCATTTGACTCGCTTTAACTAATGGTGTATTAGTAGATGTGATACAAGGAAGGATTTAAAATGTGTTTGTGGAAATGGGCTTGTCTTTTTTGGTTCTGCCAACACTATGAAAAAATGTCCAATTAGCCCACTGGTCCAAGGAGGACAGAATAAGGTGGATCTGGAGCCAGTCTCCAGCTTGGAGCCAAACCTAACCAAACTGCCTAGACCAATCAACCCTTAATTAACCTGAGATGGGTGAGTAAAAATAAATGATTATGTTAAGCTGCTATATTTTTGGATAGTCTGTTACACAGCATTATTGTACCAATAGCAGAGTGATACACCTGTTGATCTTTCAACATCTGAGCATGGCTTAGGCTGTAGTATTCTAATAGCTCTATATGAGCAGGGACTATGTCTTATTTACATTCTATTCTCAGCAAACGCATTATGCCTGGCATAAAATAGGTGCTCAAAAAATGCTTATTAAGTTAATTTGTTGAATGGGACCAAGGGCTGTTTGGGTAAAGTATGGTTTCAAGAACAGGCTGACTTTCTTTTGAATTGTATCTACAAAGGCAGAGGAAAATTCTTTCCTGTTCTATAACATGGTAGATTACACTAGCTTTATTTTGTTTAAAAGGTAGAATCAGCTAATTTCAAGAATAAATACAACGAAAAATAAAAAACTCAGATTTGATTTACAGAAAAATCAAAGTGATATTCTGTGAAATATAATTAGCACATTTTATGGTACTTTAAGCTTCAAAAGACATTTTTATAATTAAGTGTTTGAACCAACTTTTATATATAATATAACTCTGAAATGCCCAATTGTTTTACTGACACTTTGGACCGGTTATCATAAAGAGTGCCAGGATGTGTCCTGCCTGCTCAAGATCTCTGCTTTTATTTGATCTTCATTTAGTTACAATATATAATTATCCTACTTTTCTATCTTAAATAAGCAAGATTTGCAGTAAAAGCTCTTTTTAAAAGATTTCTTGGCAGGCTGAAAATTCAGAGTCAGCTCATCACTATTAATAAATACAGAGTTTTATATTTTATAACATTAATGTTCTTCTCTGTGCTCAACTATGATAAGAGCTGATTAAAATGTGCTTAACAATACACACGTTTTATATTTCCTGTCTTAGTTATATCCAGGTCTACTGGAAACCCAGCTAAAGGAATTTATCCAATTGTAGATATAATTTCTATAAGGAAATAAATATTTGAAAGTTAGTTTAGGGAACTTAAACTAAGAAAGGGAAGTCACGTGCCACATTTTACACCAGAGAGAGTAAAAGAGTACCAAAAGTATTTTAAAAATATTTATCTCAGCATTCTGAAGTTAAAACTACCCGGAAGAGATAAGTATCTAATCTACTATTTTAAAGCATTAGAAACAACGACAAAACCATCCCTATTGCTATTCTAATGTTTCCGTGAATTCTTTTTCTTTCTGGGGGGTTGAGAGGAGCTTAGGCCAAGACTCAGGGGTGGCCCTGGCCCACAGTGGTTTCTT